TTATTTCTGGTTTAAGAAAACCGTGGTGTGATATTCTGTTTTCGGTAGGTTGCGAGGACTTGCCTTCAGCTTTAGCTAAGGCACAGGAGTTGGAGGCGAATCAGAAAAGGTATGAATTCGCTAGAGTTTTTGATGCAGAACAGGAAAAAGCTAGAACGGTTCAAGTGCGCACAAATCCGCAATATAGAAAAGATATGCGTGAAAAGTATGTTCCAAATAGTGGTGAACATAACAAACCAACTCCTATGGACATAGATTCAACTTCTTCTAAATACCGCTTCAATTCTGCACCACAAACACAGGTCCCGTCCAACAGGACACAATTAGCGAAGTCTCCTAGTTACACAACAAAGAGGCAGCGGGAATCAGACAGGCAGTCACCCGCAAAAGTACAACGCATAAATGTGGTGCAGCAACAACACGAAGATCCATCCGACAATCCTGAATATGCTGATGAGATTAATTTTTTAGGGTAAATTCGGCATTGCCATATGTCAGGAAGAAACTAAACAACGGTGAAACGTTAAATATACTTCTTGATACTGGCACTGCAAAAAATTACATAAAAAAACGTTCCGACTTAAAAAATATCAAAAAAACAGATAACGCGTTCTTAGCTAGAACTGTAAATGGATTTAACAAAATCACAGAAAAATGTAAAATACAATTATTTGGTAAGATTTCTGATTTTTTCATACTCCCAGCATTAAAAACTTTTGATGCTATTATAGGGTATGACTTTCTCACGCAAATAGAATCAACTATCGATACAAGACAGTCTCTTCTAATATTTAAAGAAGGTACTGAACCGATAGAACTTTATGAATGTGAACAGGTGAATAATATCGATATAAATCTAGAATGCGTCCCTACAAGAATCAAGAGTAAGTTTGAGGATATGATTAGAGAAGTAATGCAAGTATTTGCACAGCCCGATCAGAAACTTACCTTTAACACAAACATTAAAGCTACTATACGGACTCTTGATAAAGGGCCGGTATACTCAAAGCCACGGCCATATAATATGGCCGCTGTACCATTTGTCAATGAAGAAATTAAAAAATTATTGAGAGACGGTATAATTCAGCCGTCGCGATCTCCCTATAATGCTCCAGTATTGGTGGTTTCAAAGAAGAGTGAAAAGAAGGATGAGGCTCTGAAATACAGATTAATAATAATAATAATAGATTGGCGCTTACACATATGTTAGTGTTTGGCCGAGCTCCGATTTGTGGCGTGCGCCTTGAAGTTGTCACACAAAGCGGAGGGACCTACAGTTTTACGCCGACTCCGAACGGCGTATTTTTATGAGAAGCTGTTTTTCATGGCAGAAATACACTCGGAGGTTTGCCATTGCCTGCCGAGGGACGACCGCTGTTAAGAAAAAAAACCTTTTTTCTATATTTTTTAGAAATACAGATTAGTTTTTGATTATCGAAAGTTGAATGAAAAAACGGTGGCCGATCGTTACCCAATACCTGACATTTCGATGATCTTATCTAACTTGGGGCAAGCCAAATATTATACTACAGTTGACTTGAAAGCAGGATTTCACCAAATATTGTTAGAAGAATCTGACAGGGAAAAGACTGCATTTTCAGTCAATAACGGCAAGTATGAGTTTCGAAGATTGCCGTTTGGCCTGAAAAATGGACCAAGCATATTTCAAAGAGCGATAGATGACGTGCTGCGAGAGGAAATAGGAAAGTGTTGTCATGTGTACATAGATGACGTAATAATCTTTTCCAAGTCAACAGAAGAGCATACAACAGATGTAAAGAGAATACTGACAAAACTCTTGCAAGCAAATATGCGAGTAGCACCTGAAAAGTCAAAATTTTTTCACACCGAAGTAGAATTTCTAGGCTTTAGGGTATCCAGTGATGGAATTAAGACATGTCCTAACAAAATTAAAGATATAGTTAACTATGAAATACCAAAATCTCTTCGTAGCCTGAGGTCTTTTCTAGGACTGGCGGGGTATTACAGGAGATTTGTAAAAGGTTATGCGGCAATTGCCAAACCTCTAACAAGATATCTTAGTGGCGAAAACGGGCACGTATCAGCCAGAAAGTCTAAGTATATAAAACTTCAGCTAAACGCTGAAGCGATAGGTGCATTTAATAGAATTAAATCTATATTAGCCTCAGAAGACGTGTTACTTTTATATCCCGATTTTAGGAAACCCTTTGAGTTAACAACGGATGCATCTGCTGATGCAATCGGAGCCGTTTTATCGCAAAAGGGACGGCCAATAACGATGGTTTCACGAACTTTAAGTAAAACCGAACAAAACTATGCAACAAATGAGCGAGAAATGCTAGCAATAGTTTGGGCTTTGCAAAGCCTAAGAAACTATTTATATGGGGCTCCGAATATTCATATTTATACGGACCATCAGCCGTTAATTTTCGAGATGTCCGAAAAAAACCCAAATACAAAACTTAAAAGATGGAGGAGTTTTATTGAAGAATATTCTCCGAAATTCTATTATAAGCCAGGATTAGAAAACAAAGTTGCTGACGCGCTGTCACGTCAACATATACACGCAACTACTGTTCATAGCGAACAGTCATCCACAAATATTATTCCCTCTGTACCAAATCCTATAAACTGCTTTAAGAACCAAATCTTCATTCAACATTCACTTAACTCGGATCGTAAGCAAATGAAAGCATTATTTCAAAAACAAATCAGACACATGGTGCAGTTTTCATCCATCCCAAATTTGATATGCACTTTGAAAGACACATTAAACGCGGCAGTTATGAATGGCATTCATTGCAGTTTAGAAACTTTAGGAATGATTCAAAACGATCTGGTAAACGCATTTCCAGGAGTAAAAATGAGGTACACTAGCAAACTCGTGCAGGATACTTTCAATAAAAATGACCAGTTAGAAATAATTGCCAACGAGAACAATAGAGCACATAGGGAAAGCAATGAAAATTGTAAACAAATATTGGCCGAGTATTATTTCCCAGACATGAAAAAAATGGTTAAAACATTTGCCGAAAATTGCAAAATTTGCAGGGAAAATAAATACAAACGCAGACCGATACTGCATCCTATAGGAGTAACGCTTATCCCTAAAGCACCAGTAGAGATTCTTCACATAGATATATATTACACAGGAGGGAAATATTTTATTACATGCATAGATAAATTTTCAAAATTCGCTGTGGTAAAGAATATTGCGTCTCGCAATACAATAGACGTAAAAAATCCACTTATTGAAATTATCTCGCAATTTTACGACACTAAACAGATTATCACGGATAATGAAGGAGCTTTCACATCAAAAACTGTCCAGAGTCTTCTACAAAATCAATTCAATATTTCTATGTTTACTGTTCCAGCACTTCACAGTCGAAGTAATGGCCAAGTGGAACGCTTTCATTCTACTCTGGCCGAAATTGCAAGATGCATAAAGGGAGATGCTACTGACGTAGTTGAATTGATTCTGTTAGCAACCCACAAATACAATAACTCAATTCATTCAGTTACCAAATATAAGCCAAAAGAACTATTATACAATTCAACTGAAGAAGTTAAAGAAGAAATTAGGAATCGTTTAAAAATGAAACAGGAAAAGGACTTAAGTTACCATAATAGAGAAACAAAACCAAGAGAATTTAAACCAGGTGAAATGGTCTATGTAAAAAGTAATAGGAGAAAATTATCTCGCAATTTTACGACACTAAACAGATTATCACGGATAATGAAGGAGCTTTCACATCAAAAACTGTCCAGAGTCTTCTACAAAATCAATTCAATATTTCTATGTTTACTGTTCCAGCACTTCACAGTCGAAGTAATGGCCAAGTGGAACGCTTTCATTCTACTCTGGCCGAAATTGCAAGATGCATAAAGGGAGATGCTACTGACGTAGTTGAATTGATTCTGTTAGCAACCCACAAATACAATAACTCAATTCATTCAGTTACCAAATATAAGCCAAAAGAACTATTATACAATTCAACTGAAGAAGTTAAAG